GTCAATTGATGTGATCCAGGTCGTAACATCAAGGCAAACAATTAGCTCGTCCCAATGGCTGCTCCCTTGATGTTTGCACGAAACTGTTCTGAAGACTGGACTAAATATCCTGAGTCCACCGCCAAGTATTCCAGCCGTTTCCAGTGTTCTTTCAAGGGCTGTAATTCGGTGCCCAGAGTAATGATATGAAAGGGCAAAGCGGTACCACAATTTTGGCTACTTTGAATAGGCCGTACTGCCGTAATAGCACTGAATTTTCGGGTAAGGAAAAACGTGAGTACAGTACCGCATAGTAACAATAGGCATGTTAGTAAGGTTAATTGAAAGTAAGCCCATCAGTCACCCCCTCCGGCTCACCAAGATAAAACAAAGAAATTAAGGTCAGGTGCTAATACAATAACGGGATTACCGAAGTTTAGAGCACAGTTGGGAACGACCCCGCAATATATGAGTCGTCTAATTCATGAAATATACCCCATGTAAATTTAGTTCTTCGGCAAGTTGTCATACTGAGTTGCAGAAAAACACAGTTGAATCCGATGGCTAGTGCATAACTATATCTAACTAGACTTAAGCAACTTGAGAATATGTCACCGCATGCAACCGTCACGGGGTGTAAGCAGACTGAGAGTGCCATTAGCATCATAACTACAGGTTAGCAAAAGGTGAGAAACATGTGAAAAATCGAGATACTAAACGTTAGAAACAGAAAGTAGCGAACAAGCATGTTTTCAGGGCTTCATCATCAGGCTAATACAACCATAATAAAGCAAGCTAAAATAGATACAGAATGCAAGGCGAGTAATTTTGTGCTAGGCATCATATCAGCATCAAGATCATAGACGAAGCGGGAAACTAGGGGAGAGGAGGGACAAAGAAACACGCCACTGAGGTGGGCTCCCTGCTATATAAACAGATGTAGCCAACCAAACGTGTTCAGGGTCCTCCGGACTCCAGCCAGGCAGTCGGGATACACAACCAAGGTCGATGCTGAACTGAGATCCTCCATTCCTCTTGATCAAGTCATCAGTTGGCATTCCGTCTCCTGTCGCACAGATAACGCACGTCACGGTAGTCAGTGTGCTGGCGTGCGCAACACGTAGCTCAACAACTGGAGCCTGGCGCGTAGTAGAATGTCGCTGAGCGGTTCACTAATTCCTTCTGCGCCAAATACGAGATGCCGAACATGCTCATTGATTACAAGATGTACCCACCAGATGCGATCGAAACTGCGAAGGCAACGATGGTCGAACCTAACTAGCCTCTTTATGTCGCGATTTGTTAAACCAGGTCTCACGACCCTACAGTAGAGCTGAACGCACGTCTCCGTTAGAAACTGCCTTTCAGAGTGAGTGATGCCACACCGGTGTGAAGTGGTGGAGATTGGCAAAAGCACTTTGTGCATTCGTTATGCGTTTCTAACCTCACCTTCTACCCCACAGGTGCTAATATAGGTGCCTAGAGAGTTGAACTTCTGGACGACTTCTAGCTGATGGCCACTATGAATCCTCGCAGGAGTAAGCCCCTGCCAATCTTGGGGATGGAATTTACGTTTTGAGGGTACGAAGCATAGCCCGAAACGATTGACAGTCAGTGCAAATTTGCCCAGTACTGCTTGGAACATTTATGAGCTAACATATATGGAGGCAATGCTGCCGGCGTATTCCAAGTCAATAAATCTATCACCTTGGAGCAACTCTTCAAATTCCAAGCCATGCCCAATGAATACAGTTTCCAGTACCTTGTCGATGGCGAAGTTAAAAAGGAAGCGTGACTACGGGCAACATTAATTCACACCGATGGATATTGAAGGGCGGTAATAATTTGTCATAAGCCTCCACTCTGCCCGACCTACGCGCGTACAGCGCTCTTAGGATATTTACGTATTTATGGAGCATAACTTTCCTGAACCGACCGTGCGTGCGTTAGCTGTACGCCGTAATGACGCTTCGTTGCCGTGCGACCACCACCAATCGCACGCGGGCTGAGTATACCGCAAGAACGCCCACCCCATATGCGGATTAGAACCCGCGCCGCAAAAGTACGAGACAAGCTCGTTACCTCCAGGCTACGGGCCGAGAGTCCAAAGAAGTACATCGATCCCCCGAATCGAAGATATCGTTGATATTGAGACACCACTGCGGTGGGTCATCCGACTTGCATCTCGCAAAGCTGCTTTCCGCGAGTGGCAGTAAGTCTATGGAGTGCGACACAAGCAAGCAACTTAGAGGCGATGGAGATAAGACTAATCGGTTAATAACCGCCACATTCCGAAAGTGGGACTATAACGGAGTACCTGCAGTTTGTTGAGACAGTCTCTTGTTCCCACAGCTCTCCTAACAAGTGGTGCAACTCATCCACAAGAGATGGATACAGATTTCGAAGAAAACCGGAGGAAGTCTAGTTGCTCCTACGGCCTTAGTATATTTCAGCAGTCTGATCATACGTTCGATTTTTGCGCATGAAAACGGATCCAAAAAACGGCTCAAAGTGAAGGCCTATCAATGTTCGATAAGGAAGCTGGTAGCTCTGGCAGATTAAATTAAGGTTCAGTGTTCAGCTTAACGCTCTATGCGTTTTGGCGGGCTGTGGTTTGACTGTCCAATCTCGTTGCATATAGTCTCGCTTACACCAGGTCTCATGCTTCCGGTTACGTGTGTCAGACGGAATAAGTTGCGGTGATTACTAAGAGCAACAGTTAGTTGCATCGATGCAAGGCGAGACCACTAGTCTTCGCGGGCTCTCTTCAGGCTAGCACGCGGTTTTGCTTTGAGATCTTTGTGAGTCTCCTTGTCGTCGATTCTGCCGGAATATGCCGACGAGCATGGAGAAGTTCCAGATTGGCAATTTGATTTGCCGCATGAAGACACGTCAGCTGCTAATAACGTCTGGAGAATGAGACCAGTGACCTCCAAATGTGTTCAGTGTGCGCTTACTCAACCCACATGCCAACGCAGTTTGATATATATTCGGAACACCTGACCTCGCCAAATGGCGAGTGTCTATACACCCACAGCGTCGCCGTAAGCGTCTGCTAAAGTAAACTCGGAGATCGATACATACTGGTGGGTGACCGGAGTTCACACTTTGAACACAGCCTCTCCAACGGTAACTGATCACCATGTGGTTGATTTGCGTCCAATGACTAATCCGAGGCCAGTGAGCACCATATCAACCTACTGCAAGTGCTGGAACGGAATTTAGTGCTCGTGAAAAATAGACGAGCAACCGCTCACCGTTATCACTGCAAGAGCCTACACCGTGTTGGCCGACTAGATGCGGTACATTAATGGATAAGTTACCTACTCGGGCGATCAGATCACCAACTACATCCCAGTATCCAGACCTTTTCTGTAACGAAGGAGCTAGTTCTTTGGGTAATAGAAGTCATCTTTCACCGAATCAGGGTCGCAGTTTGTGGGAGCGTGAGCAGCATTGGCAAACATAGACCCATTGGCTTCGCGGCATTTCGAAAGTTCGAACGAACCAGCCGGTCTGACGACGCAAATACCCTGTTGCTTAGTATCTAATCCATCAGGGCGGCTTTATACCGAGTAATTTCAGCAATACCCGCACCGCCTTGATCGGTATTTGAAGTTGCGTCGTCTCCAGACAAGCACAATCAGATGGTGCTACCACAAGTGAGGGATTGCAGGCTGAGCATAGAACTAGAATCATTTAGGCGGGTTACCGATAAGCAGCAGATATCGATCGACAGGGTCTCCGATGGCCGCGCAAATTCTGCCTGTTAGCCAACTCACAGCGAATTGCGCACGTTAATGCATGCCAGTTTTAGCGAGGATCGAGGGATCTAAACAGAAACGAGTGAACTGATGTTGTCCGCTTGGCTGAACATGCAATTGTCGACTGGACTGGAGCAAAGATGTGTGATTGCGTTTGACTTGAAACTAGAAGACAAGTGACTATCGAAGCAAGGTGTGAGAAAGCCAAGAATTAGGGAAACAGATGAAGCTGAAGTTGGAAGCGATAAAGAGGAAAAAGATAATAAAAAATAAGGACGAAATGGCCTGAATACCAAGGAAAGTTATGGACAAACGACTGAAACACGGTCACGTGTCCGGGGATGCAGCTCACAATCTTTAGGAATATGTTACTACATTAACAAAGAAACGATAACTCATCGTAGTGGCAAGCACTGAAATGCAACGTCAGGGTGCAAAAAGTAAATAAAACTAGAGTATGGTGCACACAGATGGAGAAACGAATGCCGTGTAAAAACCTTGAAAACAAGATTTGTTTTGTGAGACGTTTGATGATCGACCCAGGAGAAATCTTGCAAACATGGCTGAGAAAACGAAAGCCATTCATTGGGTGTAGTGGGCGCAAATTGACAACTAAAAACCGACAGTGCGAAAACGTGGTGACGTTCCCCGTATGCCCGCTTATTGGCTTCCTCAGTGTGCAGTATACGCCGCTGCTGCATTAACCTGAAAACCCCACAAGGTGGCCGGTCGATGACGTGGCGTCAAGACAGGAAGAAAGTAACTTGATCAGGCTGACGTGTGACATCTTTGCGGATGGTGGTTCCGAGATGGTTCACGCCTGTGGTTGGAGACTCTGTCGGGCATGGCGCAGTAGCATAGTCAGTGACGTTCCCGCATTCGGTTTCTTGCATCTAGCTGTTAATTTTCATTCCAGCCCGACGAGCTGAACGTAATTCGTTCTTGGCTCTATTTTCTTTGCATCTATTTGCTTGTCATTTTTACGTATTGCTATTCTGGTTACACGAGTGGTGGGTTAACCGAACTTTGATGTACAGAGCACCGTTGTTCAACTGAACCGTACTGTGCGAAGACTTAACAAGAATGATGGAAAATAGATCCAAGGCAATCGTAATGTCATACTACGCGACAAAATTCGATCCCGCAAATACAACTCTGAATAATGGGGAGTATAATGCATTAGACGTCAGCGCGCAATAACTAAATATGACGATAGACGAATACCTGACGTTTAAAGAATAAGTTAATTCGACGTACCTTACAAACAGGAGGTTTCGCGTTTGTAACAGGGGGAAGTGTGCCATCAGACGTAGACTCACGCTCACCAGGTAAACGGCCTGTAAGCCTGAAGATCTCCTCTTCCTCCCGACTGTAATGCAGAAACTTGCAAGCTGGTCTGCGGCATACAGCATTTTGATAATCGTGACAGAATATTCGTTCAGAGCGCCTGTTGAAATCAGAGAAAAAACCGCCCGAAGGAAATGAGCAATAAGTACTTGCGGTTGTAAATTGAGCATGGATAGTGATGAACCCTAAAAAGTCAACTGATTACGCTGAAGCCGGTTCGTTAGACTATTAGCCGAATTAGTGGCGAAAACAATAACTCTGGACAAAAAACAAGCACTTGAGATATATGGACGGATGTTTACAGGACCACCAAAGTGGTGGAATACATCACCGGGTGAGTTCGATTGACGAACTATGACCGTGGCACAGTGGATAAAATTGTCGTGAGCCAAGACATCATGAAAGCAGCGGGTTAAACGACAAACGATGCGACAGCTTTCAAAAAATGAGGCGATAGTATCGATGGTACGTGCATCACTCCAAATACGTAATTCCCAGTTCAGCCTACAACCCATTAAAGCAAAAGAAAGAACAGCACATCAACTTGACACTACTTGCAAGTTCACCCAGAGTGGACATGATTCGAAACTTGGGCGCAAGTATTTCCACCATCCAGGCACAAATGTCGCATTTTCTTGAACAACTGCACACAAATCATGAGATACTGCGCCCATATAATCCCGTGATATTGCAATTGTCTTAGAATTCCTTATTGAATGAGTGTTACGTTTCAAGTGTAAGGGAAAATATCATAAGCAGTATCCAGACATAGACGGTGGGGATAATGGAAACGGAAGCTAACCGCCATTCTACTACCCATCAGACAAATAGACAGTGGGTTATTTCGTTGAAGACGGAGACTCTATAGTTAACAAACTTTTATGATTTCATGGTGCATTCGAGCAAGTCGAGGTAGACTACATCCAGGTACTTTAACATTGTGAGTTATGATGGGTGCAGAGGTCATATTGAAGAGTTGTGAATGCGTCTGGTGACAACAGCCGGGTTATAAGTTCCTGAGATGTCCTTCAAAACGTCCTACCTAGCAGTTAGATCGGTGAGGTTGAGGCTAGATCAACTGTCCGTCCACATCAGCTGTCGGCAAATTCACTGGGGCTCTTTGTGGATCTGCGTTTCCACCAAAAAGCCGTTGCTCGCCTCCCAGATCCATGGCACTCATCAACGCTCTTGATACAAACCGAGAAACAGTCAGATGTCTTATGACGTTGCGGACACTAAAAGCTAACTACTCGGTGTATTCGCATTTTTCGTTTCACATCAGCTAGTAAAGACCTCAGAGATTTAGTTACCACTTGAATGTACTAATCAATGGAAGCAAACGGTATCCAACCCCATCGACGTCACATAGGTGACTATAAATTAGCCACCAGTGTATACACCACGGACATCAGTAAATAAGAGCGATGGCACCTCAAGCTTCCCAGGCAAGTCATGTAGGTAGACTGGGAACAGCAGCGGCCCAAAAACAGAGCCATGCGGGTCTCCGCTAAGGACAGCTTGTCGAAACGAAAGACTAGTTTCAACGCGTACATACTTCTTGTCCATCCAAAAAAGCTGACATCCACTGAAAAGCGCGACCAGATATTCCATAAGACTTCAACTTTAATGACAGTCGAGCCCAGTGGGCAGTGTCAAATTCATTAGCGAAGTCAATAAACAGCCCGGCTACTGAATGCCCATTGTCTACGGCATCAGCACAGCTTCCATGAGCTAGCAGTAGGTTCGTTAGGCACGAAAACTCTACGACCTCAATGTTGTGCGACACTAAGCAAGTTAAATTTATTCAAGCGTCTGCACCGAATCTCTTAGCAATCTTTCAAGTAATGTGACAAACATGCTAGTCAAGCTGACAGACCTACAATAAGCCGGTAGGTCTTCGTAACACTTGAAAACGGAGCAGACCACAGCCTCCTTTCAATCCGGAGCCAAGAAGCAGTTGTTGAGTGACTTCTGAATCAAACAAGTCGGTGGTCCACTGAGTCCCGCTGCTAACTAACGCAGTAGTTTAGGATGAACAGAATCGGGCCCAGGAACCTAAGTTGGGTTCAGCTGCCTTAGTAACGGGAGAACTTGATCAGACAAGAGCTCGCAGGAATTGTTGACACTAGTTCTCGACATGCCGTGTCTGCTCCGTAGACAGACACTTGAATACTGCTCACCAAGTACACACGCCTTGTCATAATCGCCATAGAGATGGGTCCCATGCGCTTGAAGGAACGCTGAAGTAGGAGAGTTTACACCGCAAAGTCGCTTAACGTAGGCAAAAAATTCTTCGGATTAGTAGAGGCAGTGCCAGCTGAGTCCTTCTTATACTGAAGCTGGGCTTGCACTTATTACGAAGTACCCGATACCTGTCAAACGTGTTGGTCGACAGAGATGCTCGATACGTTCACCAGTATGCAGGCTTCTACAGCAGGCATTTCCATAAGGAATCAATCCACAAAGGCTGCGCTTTCGACTCCCATTTTTACCAGTGGGATGTGAGGTGCAGAAACCTCGATGAGGTAAGTCTTAAAATCTTCCCAGGCTACTTGAACAGCAAATGTCTCAGAGATCCCACAAAGTGATGGTAAAGCTCCGACTCAGATTCCTTGAAAGTACGCGGTCCAAACATAAGGATGTCAGACGCCAGTAGTCTGACAAGGGCACACTGAAAAGATAACCAAACGTGGCCGCTGGCACTAAGTAATGTCGCTTACAAAGTCAAGTGACTCCAAACACTAGGTCCGAAATAGATGGTACTTGTGTGTCAATGTAGTTAGTCGGGTTGTCCACGAACTGATGCAACGGTACATGTCAGCGTAAGCACAAGAAGAACTGTACCGCGAGTACCTAAAGCTGAGTTGCAAGAAAGATCTACACAATAAATTTCTCGCAGGCTGAAGTCACGCAGAAACAGAGATTTATTTGTGGACAGAGTGCAAATGAAGTCAAGCAACTCTTTGGATGCTTCAATAAACAACTACAACTGTAAATTGAGCCGAGAAGTGCCAATCACTACTGATAGTTAACTTAAAGTATGACGCGCCAGCATTGGATAACGGAGCGATAACAGCTAAATGGTGCGTAGCCATACAGATGTACTACAACGTTCGCGATGTCCTGAGACAAGCAATGTGACGATGTGTCAGCTGTACGCCGTAACGGCGCATCGCTGCCGCGCGACCACCACGAGCCGCGCGCAGGCTGAGTATACCGCGAGGACACCCATCCTTAAGTGGATTCGAACCGGTGACTATGGTTGCAAAACAAACGCGCAGACCACTCGGCCACCGGCCGACAACCCCGTGCATTTGATCGCGAATATATCGGAAAGAGAAAAAACAACTAGCAGACAGCTCGTACACACTGCTTAGGCTGCGCACACTGCTAAATGCTTTCTGAAGGCATCAACAATGCCCAGACCTAGTCGTAACGACACGTGCTCTTGTTCTGAATTGGAGGTGATGGGGCTGACATAAGACCTCCCCTGTCCGCACAGATGGACGGCCAGTCGTCCCATTTGGGAGTGTCTTTTGTTACTCGCAAAGGCAACAAGTTACTATGAAAGCAAATGACGCGATCAGTTTAGATATGCCGTTAGATAAGAAGGCTTTCTTTATTCCCACCATTTTTTGCTTAAAATGCACGTCTTTTTTTAAAAAAAGCGTAAGTTCACTCAGCACGAGTGACCACTGGAGCTCCCTGAGAGACCAATTTTTGTGCTACAGGCCGTCCCAATTGGACGCTACCTGGTCAGATTTTAGTCACTCAAAAACATTTCCGGCTTAATTTAATGGCTGTTTTATCAGTAAACACGTTAGCTAGAGGTGTAAAACATCTCAGCTACTGTGCCGCAATACATAAAAGAAAAATGCAACAGTTGCATGTTAGCTGAGCTACCAGAAACGGATGGGCATCGTTTCGGGAAGCCAGTAGCCGGCTACTAGGCAACGAAAAAATTATTAAGTAAAATTATATTCTGCTACGAAATGAGATCGTGGTTGGAGGGGAAGGCTAAAAGGAGCGGGGAGGGACAAAGAAACCCACAGCAGGAACGCCACTGAGGCCGGCTCCTAGCCATGTGTATCCAGCCAAACGTGTTCGTCTTTTGGTTCCCCACCAGGGAGCCGTGACGCTCTAACCAAGACCAACTTCGAATTGAAGGCCTTCATTCCTCTCGATCAAGTCATCGCTTGGCCACTTCTCCTCTTCTTCCATCCACACCCCGGCGAACAAACAACGCAGGTCGTGGGAGCTGGTAGGCTGGCATGCGTAACACGTAGTCGAGTCATCGGAGCCTAGTGCGTGAGATCACAATGCTGAGCGGTTCAGTTCCTTTTCCTGTGCCATAAACAAGGCGTCGAACACGCTCGTTGCTCACGCGGTGTTCCCACCAGATGTGAGCCAAACTACGAAGGCCCCAGTGGTCGAACGCAACTAGCCTCTCTCTGTCCGCTGATGTAAGAGGCCAAGTTTCACAGCCGTGCAGTATGGTAGAAGGTATCGCTGCATTGTACACTCTACCCTTCAGGGCGAGAGTGATGTCGCGCCAGCGCCATAGTTAGCGAAGGCTCGCAAAAGCACCCTAGCTTTTGCTATACGGTTCGTGATCTCATATTCGATCCCAAAATCGCTGGTACAACCTCCCAGGTAGTTGAATTTCTGAACGACTTCTAGCTGATCCCTACCATGAGACGGTCTAGACCAATCTTGGAGGGAAGCTTTGCATTTCGAAGATGCAAAGCAAAGCTCGAAGCGGCTGACAACCAGTGTTAATCTGTCCAGTGCAGCTTGGCACGTCTGAGAGCTGTTATAGATGAGGGCAGTATCGTCCGCATACTCCAAGTCAAGAAGTCATTCTCCTGGGAGTAGCTCCACACCTATGTCGTGTCCTGTGAATGCGATTTCCATGACTTCGTCAATAGCGAAGTTGAAGGGGAAAGGTGAGATCGGGCATCCTTGTCTCACACCGCTGGAGATACTGAAGGGCGGCGACAGCTTGCCGTAAGCCCTCACACTGCCCGTGCTACGCGCGTATAATATTTGCGTACTTCGCGGGTACACCTTTCCTGCGTAGACAATCCCAAATGGCACATCCATCAACCGAATGGAAGGCAGCTTTGATGTTGTGGAACACGACTAAGGTGGGCCGCCATTATGTGTGACGGTGTTCCAACAATTGACGCAAAGTGAAGATATGGTCGATGCAGCCACGACCTAGACGAAACCCGGCTTGATCCCCAAGAATCTGGCTTTCACGTGCGTCAGTCAGTCTGTGAAGGAGTAAAAAGACAAGTAATTTGGAGGCGATGGGGATCAGACTCCTCTATGGTTGTCGCATTCTGAACGCGAGCCTCCTTTGAGGGTCAGAACTATAACGGAGCGGCTCCAGTCGGTTGGGACAATTCCCTGCTCCCACAGTTTCACTAGTAATTCGTGTAAAGCATCAAGAAGAGCAGGCCCCCAAATTTGAAGGGGATGTATGTAGATCATCTTGACCCGCAGCCTTGTTCAATTTAAACAGTCCGAGCTCACGTTCGACTTCCGAGCGAGGGCAGATAAAAATGGACAGCCCACAGAGCAAAGCAATCATTGCCCGGTGAGGATTCTAACAATTCCGGCAGATAAAATTGTTTTGCAAAATACTCAGCACAACGCTCCAAACGTTTTGACAAGTTGTGGATAGTCTGCCCACTCTAGTCATAAATTGTCTCACAAACACCAGGTCCCTTGCTGCCCGTTCCCCGTATCAGACGGAATAAGTTTCGATGGTTACCAAACGCAGCGGCCTATTCACCTCTGACGTACATAGAGACCACCAGGATTCGCGGTCTCTCTTCAGGCTAGCACGGAGTTTTGCCCGGAGCTCTTTGCGAGTTTTGTTGTGTTCGCTTCCAGCCGGAATATGCCGGCGACCATCGATAAGTTCCAGAGCCCGCGAAGGGACCCAATGTTCATGTTCGCAATTAGACTTACCATATGAGGATTTATCTGCTACTAGTATGATTTGGTGAACATGAGACCAGTGACTTTCAATTGTCTCTAGTGAGCGATTACTCAACCCGCATGTCAGCGTATTTCCGTACGCATTTAGAATAGCTAGCTTCGCCACTGGAATGGTGTCAATGCGCTCACAGCGTCGTCGTGGGTGTCCACCAAAACGCATCCGCATGTCAATATATACAAGTACATGGCCGGTGTCCACACACGTGCTTCAAATCGAGCGACAGTTCTGGTCGCAGCCTTTCCATCGGTAACTGATCGCAAGGTGATCGATTGGCGTCCAAGGCTGGTGGGCGCCAAATCGCCCTCCGGCGGGTGCTGTGTGGGGAGTTAGTGCTCGCAAGAAATAGCGGGCATCTTCAAACAAATAAAGCAACCGCTCACCGTCAGCATTCCGGGAGCCTATGCCATGCTGGCCGCCCAGATGTAGTTCCTATACAGATAATTTTCTAACTTGTGCGTTCAGATCCCCCGCCAGAACAACAGTGTCCGCGCTTCTTCTGTGGAGGAGGGAGGGTGAGAAAGAGGGTGAATAAAAGATGGGTAGGCTTGAGCAATAGCATCCAAACCCCTATCCACGTTGTTCGGTGCAGCAAATAGACCACGTTGATTATGCTCTGCGGTGGCCAGAGCATCAGCAATTTGTTTGAGGAAAGATTCATTGTATTGCGTGGTCAGGATACTGTCAGGTTGCGCAGGCCTAAACAGAAGAACGATTAGTCTTCTCAACCAAAGCTTTTGGTTCAAAAACCTGACCGCAAGGCAGCAGATTTGGCAGTGGGCTACAAGGAGTCCGTTTTAAGGAATAAGGAGCCGCCCTCATTCCAACCCCCAAGTTGGAGGACCAGGAGGCTTAGTTTGTCTGGCCTCTAACCATTGACCAATCTGGTATGAGTGGCTCTGAAGGTGAAAAAAAGCACCACCCAGTATAGCTCAATGGATCTTTGAGGCCCGCAAGCCATCGCACCGTGGTAAGGTCCAGCGTCATTGCGATGGGGCTATTGTGTTATGTACTTACAATTTGGAAATCGATTTCTGCTTCACGTCGACGGCATTTGCAAGCAGAAATAATGCATTCGTCCCATATGGGACGAATTTTGGCCATTCAAAAACATTTTCGGCTTTGCTTAATGGCTATACTATTGCGTAACTACAACCTAGGAGTCGATTTCGTCTTAATGTTGACGGTATTGGCAAATATGAAGTATCCAGTTAAGGTACGTATTAAGAGTGGGTCGTAAAAAACATTCTGAGTGACCAGAGGTCGTCAAAAAGAGTGTCCAATAGGGGCGGCTGGGGGCACAGAAATTGGTTACTCGGGGAGGTCTAAAGGTCACTCCAGTGGACACCTTTTGGTCATTCGTGCGGACAGGGTCTCTGTCCTCTACAACTTAATGAAGCCAGGTCAGGTAAGAGATTCAGGGACGAAACAGGCCTCCGCCTAACGAGCGTTTGATTTTCTGTGCCAGTAAGCAAGCCAAGGCCGCCGGTACATCGACGTTTAAGCTATACTTCTGAGAAGATAAAGGAAGAGTAAGAGTAACGTCTCATGACTTTATGAAATCATTCGTGACATCATATTGGTACTAATTTAAATCCACCAATCTCAGTGCAATTCCGCAGTGTGGACCAATTCATATATAGGCCTCTTTTAAAACCTTCTATACTATTATATTCCACTAGTGCAGTGGAAAGTGAATTCAAACTACGTGCTACGCTGGCAGTGCAAAATTTCGCCCGGATATCCAGTCTGGACCTATGCCTCATTAGATTCAGATGGACCTCTAAGGTGATCCGATGTAGCTAGTTCAAAGAGATCGGTAGGCTTAGCAACACTAAGCCCCTTCATAAGGCTTATATCAGGTCTCCCCTTAGTCTGCGTCGATCCAACGATAACAAGTCTAAACAATCGAGGCGGTCAACATAGGACTTCTCACGCTGACCTTCAATCATCCTGGTAGCTATGCTGTGTACCTGCTCTAAGCAAGCGACACCCTTTCGAATGTAAGGTGCCCAAGCCTGAACACAATAAGCTAAGTGCGGCCGAACCACCACTTTGTACAATGGGAGACAGAACTCAAGTTTGGTATTACCCAATGCTTTCCTGAGGCGAAGAAGTTCCTGCCGCGCTCAGTCAGCAGCATATTGGCACTGCTACAAAGGCCTGAAGTTACCTATCATAACGATGCTCAAGTCCCTCACACTGCAATGTCAAAGAGCCTGTGGATGTCTTCACCGTCATCCCAACGTTACTGGATGACAACAGCAGACATTCGTTCGCGTTCAATGCTAAGTCCCATGATTCAGACAACTATACTACAGTGCTCAGGTCTTTAGACAACCTATCCTTATCTCCTCTACTGACAAGCTTTACGTCATTCGCAAAAACACAACAGGGGTACTCGAAGAGTGCAGCTAGCTAATTTATAAACAAAAGAAACAACAACGGTCCTAGCACTGAACTCTGGGTGACTCCACTATAGGCAATGCTCATGCTAGATCTGGTCTCACCGATTTTGACACTGAACTTTCTGCCCCAGAGTCATTTCGAAAACCAAGTCACCAGCTGAAGAGGCAGCCAAAACCAAGTCAGCTTCTCCAATGAAAGGTGATGATTAACCTAGTCAAATGCTTTACTGAAGTCTAGGTAGCTGACCACTAGACTCCTGATATCGAGTTATCCCGTCCAAGAAACACAACGGATTCGTAAGACATGACTTCCTTCTAAAGAAGACATACTATTTCGCTCCAAACAAGTTGTGAAAAGCTGTACTCACAAATTCGCTATCTAATGAGCTTCTCCAAACACTTAAGCCGGCTACTGGTCAGACTGACGGGCCTATAGTTCAGCGGCGTAGACTTAAAGCTCCCCTTATGAATTGCCATCACAGCCGCCTATTTTCAGTCATGTGGTAATCTAACTTCCCGAAGAGAAGAGTTGAATAGGTCTAAAAAAAGGATACTGACGAATATCACCGAGCGGTTTAACAATCGCTGGATGAACATTGTCAGGGCCTGCCGATTTATAAGGGTTTAAGCCAGACAGCATCTCAGATGCGGTTAGTAAGTTTGCATTTCAACGTCACTTGAGGACTGACTGCGAGGTGATTGTACAGCCACTGTCTACACGGTGCAAGTGCTGAAAGTCACGCAATAGTACATCCGCCTCAACTGCATCCTCCATAATCTTACCATTCTTCTTAGTCAAGTTACCAACCTCCTCAAAGAAACTTTTGACTAAACATAACCGTAATACAGCTTTGAAGTTAATTCTGCATACTGAGCTTATAGCGATATCTAGCTAGCGTTTGAAATTTGGTTGATCTATTTCGATAATGATTATAGTGTAGCTATTGCCTGAAGTTTCCAGAGTCCCGAAAGATTTTCCTAGAAGGTTTATGTCTCCGAAGCATTCTGGCAATTTCACGACCCACCAGCGGCGCTTATTCCTGCTTCTATTGGGAGGCAAAGGGGCGAACCCATCTAGCAATTGCACGACGCCGGAATTAAGTATTCCCACCTTTGCTCCACCCTTACCTGTTCTTCAGCATGAACCTTAGGGAGCTGGAGGACACTGTTCCGTAAGCCGCTAATATCAATTCGGCCGAACTTTCTCACAAGTCGAGGTTTCAATGGCAGCGACGTTTCATTCACCGGTGGTAAGGACACGATGATCGCTCCTAACTATGGGGGTACCGCATTCATCTCTGTTACATGGTCATGCTTAGCGATCATGTGATCTAAAGTGGAAGGGGTAGTCCCAATTCGACTTCCCCTCGGAAGGACAGCGTGTTAAACGAACGCATTCTACTAGAATAGACATTAAGTCAGTCAGAGTCATGGAGTTACGAATCAAGGAAAGGTAAAAAGATACAATGCGTAAAACGATAATGAGAAAAAACAATATCCACAGTATTCACCCATAGTACGTGGTCCAAACCAATTTCGGAGTTGGGCAAAAACCAACGATCCTCATGAAGAAAGTAAGATGTTACTGTAAAAAACGGTAGACTAGTGGTATAAAAGTGTAACCCGTAAGTCGGCGAAATTAAAACCCGGGTAATTAAAAGAATAGTGTAAAAGCACTCACCTTATTTTATCGCACAACAATTGAGGTGGGTGTGTAAACTTACACCGGCGACCTCGTTTACAAACATTACGCAAAAAATCACGGCAAACAGATGCGTCCGCCGTGACATTTTGTTGTGAAATGCGGCATTCTAAATCAGTTTTTGAAGACATTACAAAGCTTGACCAGGAAACATCTGGAAGCATAAAAACGGGCCGCCTAAAGGTAGACAACGAAGGTTGTCAACACGAAAATCAATGTAGTGAGCATTAATTATACCCACTTTTTGTATTTTGTGATATTGGTTTTATTATTTTGTTTACACCTTGATGGTTCAGTTGTTTAACTGTTAAAAAATACCGAGCACTTGTTCGAAGTCACGCCGTATATGGCCTCTGCTTACTTCAGGGCAGGTCGGGTCAAGGCAAGTCGGGTCATGGCAGGTAAAACGGACGATAGAGGCTTTCGCCTAACACGCGTCCAGTTTCTGATGCTAGTAAGTGAAGCGGCTCCCGGAGCTTCGCCGCTGGGTTGACTTCTTTCTTCTGCAATGGAATGAAGCAAGAACAAGAACAATCCTTGCACTTTCGTGTGTCAGCATGAACATACACTACATATTCCAGGACAATTATAATATCAGTGAAAAAGATAGACCAACACTTCTCTAAGCCCTTTTGAAGGCTGCTGCAGACTCACACTCCACTAAATCACAAGGAAGCTTATTCCAGAAGTTAACTACTCGGTTGGTAAAAATTTTACCCTATACGCTTTGTAGCCTGGTCAATGTAGGTTGGGTTTAGACCTTTTACCTGTGCTCCGTACTTTCGTACTATGCACGCTTCTTACGCTCCACGTCTCTCGACTTTCATCTCAAGTCAAGGCAAATCGTGATAATAAGCTTTATGAATCCTAATGGGTAATTTTTATCATTTACATCACCAATGCGGACATCTGGACGATAACATCCATCTATATGCTAGGGTAGGAAGTGGAGAAAAAGTAGGACTGTTACTCAAATAAGCTCTCGTGTCGAATGTTATTGATTTTGCCGTGGCAAGGAGCAAACGTAAGCGATTAGGCAAAACAGTATTACGATACGGCTACGTGCGGGGGAATAAATTTCTGAATTTCGAAAGGGTAGAATAGCAACAGCTGATTTTGCAAAGATCATTGTGAAGTGCATGAAATCGGTCAGTTAGCCTTTTATAAGAACTATTATTGCAATCATCAAGATGTCTAGACATGATAAAGCAATTAAAGAAGCTAGACAGGCTGCTGCATCTTGAAAGATGCTTTATAGAACGTACTGACAAGATCTACTCTTTCTGAAGCAGCCCATGGTGAAGGACTGTAGCGCAGTATAGCCAATGGTGAATAGTACGAGGTACCGAAATCACCTTAAGTCTGAGGGCATAAAAGGAAGTTTTCTGACTTTTTGGAAGGTTTTACTGTCTTGCGTGAACCAATGTAGGTTCTGGGACATCAAACACCGAGATACTTGACGGTGGAAGATATGGGTATGCGATTTTACTTTACAGCAACTGTGAAGGAAAATCCGTGAGGGACCGCAACTTATTGGCACGTAGTAAAGAAAAGATTACATGCGTGCACTTAGAAGCTTTAAGCGCGTGATCTGGATAAAATCCATCCACCAACTCTTCCAATCCACGTTGAAGTGATGAGGAATCCTTGTTAGTGTGGGACATACATTCTAATATGACATCATCAGCATATTTATACCCTATAAACGTGGTTGGTATCGGAAGAAGTATAACAGGTAAGAAAATAGGAAAGGTGCTAGGATGGCTCCGTGTAGAACACCACAGTCGGCACGGAGGACAGAGGATTTCTTACCGTTCAACTTGGTGAAGCGAGTACGATCTGTAAACTAGTTACGTAACAGATTACACACACCAAGGCGCACTACATTTTCGGATAGCAGGTTTATCAACCTTGCACTAACCAGTCTTCTAAAGGCATTCGAATAATCCAGGAAGTGAAGTCGTACGGATTTACATTTTTTGATCTAATGCAGAGGCTATAGAGTGAACAACATATGTCACTGCTTCCAATGTGGAGCGCTGGGGTCTACGCAAACTGATAGATATCGTCTTTAGGAGCGGCTAAAAGTCCGCGGAATTAAACAAATAAATAAATGGTTTATTCTCGTCATTGCGAGGCACACCATCAAGGGCGGGATCATGGTACTACAGACGAGTATGATCGGCAACTGCATAAATTGGTGTATTTTGACAAATAGCATAGGAATGTATGTGTAGCTTGACATGTAAACGTATCTTTATGTTCTTGTATTTGGACGTAGCTATGTTGTGTGATTATGTAAATGTGATTCTGTGTGTTTTTGTTTGTTGTGTTCGTTATCATAGGGGAAATCTAATGATGTTCGTGATGTGTGCATGATCCTTCGGAAAAGGAAAGAGGCAGTGACTTTATTTAGCGGCGAGTCACATCCGCCAAAGTGTTGGTAAACGGATACTTGTGGAATTTTATAGGGAGAACGTTTGCCAGGCGAAATTCCACCACATCCTGGAACACTGCCGCCGTATCAGTTGCTGTAAAGGGATTTGTCCGATCCACCCAACTGGTACCACGGGGTGGTTGATCGGCTAGCCAGTCTTTCGAAAACAACTAGGAGCACAGATATACATACACTTAGGCAATAAGTTAGCATCCAGTTATTAAATAAATAAATAACTAAATAAACGGTATATTCTCCGTTAAACGAGACACAGCTATGAAGGCGTGAAGGAGTGGTACTGGCTGTCCCCTAAATGTCCGGGATCACAATCGTAGTGAGGCATTTGTTAAAGAGGTCTGTTAGAGGCAGTGTGAGAGAATTAGCACACTCCTCTAAAGGTGGGTGTGAGAGAGCATCCATACCATAAGCATTGGTTGCCTTTAATCCTTTGAGTTCCTTGTTGACGTCTCTTTGATCGAAGCGCGCGGCTGCACTTAATCTAATGAAGGTGGGCAAGGATGATGAGCTGAGGCACAACTAAGGTCCGAATTCAGCTTATCCACAATCATTTCACCTCTCTGGCTGAAAACGCCCTTACCACAGAGCTACCTCAGAAGTCCCATAGATCGCGACAGTTACTGTTGCTTAGAACGGCTACGACATATAATTGGTTTAGTCGGTATAGCTCGGATTTAATTGCCGTGGTTAGAATTTTGGCAAGGGTAGCATTCATGCATTCTTGCATTATTCCATCCTTCGAAAGCGCTTTAGTAGTGGTGTTCGACCATCGGTGCCTTCGTAGTCGGGCTCATCTCTGTTGTGAACACCGCGTGAGCAACGAGCGTCTACGGCGCCTTGTTTATGGCACAAGGAAAGGAACTGAACCGCTCAGCATAGACATTTATCGCACTAGTCTCCGACGGCTCGGCCAAGTGTTGCACAAGTCAGCCCACAGACTGCAGCGACTTACGTTGTTTGTTCGCCGGAGTGTGGATGGAAGAAAAGGGGGTGGTAAAGCGATGACTTGGTCGAGTTGAATAACGGAATGCACCTAGAAACTGGTCTCGGTTAGAACTTCCCGGCTCCCTGGTTGGAGTCCAAAAGCCGAACGCGGTTTGGCTAGATACGCCCGTTGACAAATATAGAAGCTGACCTCAGTGGCGTTCCTGCTGTAGGTTGCTTTGTCTCTCCCCATCCCTTTTAGCCTCCCCTCCATTGCGTTGCATAATATAATTTTACTTCATAACTTTTGGTTGCCTAGTAGCCGGCTGCTAGCTTTCCGTTGCTGGTAGCTAACATGCAACTGTTGTGCTTATTTTGTTTTTCCTTTTATAAAGTACGGCATATTAGCTGCGGTGTTTTTCACCTCTAGCGAACGGGTATAATAATATGATGAATTATTAGTAGTGGTGATGAAAATCTATCTGCTCTTAGATAGCTTGTTTCAACAAAGCAACGTATGTCAAAGCCATATTTGATGTAGACTGTATGATTTTCACATTCAAGCGACAGGTCCGCGTCATTGAAGACCGACATATCCGTTTAATAATAGCTCGTCTGGTTCCCGGTGGTATTTCCGCAGGTGAAAGTTCGCCGATTGTTATCCTTGTAACAACATCTGGTTGGAGTTAAAAAATTAGACCTACTGTATATGACTCGACACCCGTTTAAAATACAATGGTCAGTGCTGCTCAAAGGAGCCCACTTTCGTGAGGCAAGCAACTATTGTGTACTTGTGAACACAGCTTCTAACTGGGCATCTTGTTAGGTCGAAACTGTCATTTGGTCTACCAAGCCAAGTGCTTTCAAGAATGTTATATCCTTTCTATTGAAGTCGCCAGCAACAATACAGATAGAACAAGGTAACTTAAACAGTAGCGTTAAAGAAAGTTGGTCTTCAAAAAGCTTTAAGGCTGTTGCAGATGTGGCAGTTGTGATGTATACGTTTCCAACGATGACGGTTCGAAAGCCATTTAGGAACTTCGGTATATACTCAACTAAATGGTAGCCTGTAGAAATGGTTGAGTACGTACATAGTATGATTGCTTAATTGCACCCACGTTAATTAACGTAACTTATAACGATACCACAATGAAATTAAGTAACAATTCAAAATACGTTGTTTGCTGTTGAAGTTCGGACTGTGGCAGTGTACAATAAGCACCAAGTGGACGTGTGTTTCTTCTACTGCTTGAAGGCACTTGACAAGGTACCCCGCCTGAGCCCATCACTGCAGCTGCGCTCCTATGATGTATCTGGCCGTGCACTTCCAGGTGTATCAATGAGCGTAGTGTGTACACGTTGTTCGCAGCCCAGCCTTTAGCCAAGCGATTCGTAGGGTTGTCACATAAGGCTCGGGCCTTGGACCGGTGCCGGTTTCTATCTACCTAAGCTATATCCTTGCGGTTCTTGAAGTATCATTAGCATTCTTTGCTGGTGGCCTGAAGCGGTGGAACGTTGTAGTTGTCCCTGGGGGCAAGAGGGCATTCAGCATGCCCTGGATAGGCTCTTGGACTGGTCTACTTCGCGACTTCTGCCCAGTATGCAGACTGTTTTACATTGTTCGTATGGTAGCAACCATCCTGCTCACGATTTACGTGCCCGGTAGGGGCGCATTTCTCCTGACTACAACCAAGTTGACCTGGGGCCATCCATTCTTCGTCTTTGCATTCTATTGGCAACTGAAGGAAGCCGCATGTAGGGCCTAAGTAATTTGTGGTTCCTCCTCCGTTGTT